AAACTTTTTATTCGACTTCAAATATGTTAGACGTGGTGAGATTTCAAGGAATACAGTTCCTATAATGCCGTTGTATCTGCATTTTTACCAGCGACAGTTCAATCGCGGAAATGTAGTGAATGTGGAAGTATGAGCTGTTATGTGACGGTGATGTGATGTGTGACTGTTTGACGTTTCATCGTCACTCGCTTCTACAGAAGGAAATGTAAGTGTTGTCTAACTTAAATGTTTTACCTGGGAATAAAAAATATTTACTTATGGTTAATTAACCAATCCACTACCTTAACCAGATGAAAGTGCTAGCGTCCAGTTTCATATGAAGTATGAGACGTATTTCTTCCAAAATTCATTGATATACCTCAGCGTAGTTTTTCGATATCGCCAAGATCCACAGCGGATGCACCGTAGGCAATATAAAAAAATTGAGCGAGTCAACTGTGAAGGAATTCACATTAGCGGTTGTGAAGTAACAAACAAAAGTCAACGACAGATATTGTCAAACATGCAAAACAAGGCGGTGGCACACGTTTAGAGAGAAATCTCGTTGCGTTGTGAACTGATATTTTAGTTCGCAAAATTTAGCGCGAGTGCTGTGGAAACGTCCAAGTTAGATTGTAAAGCGCTTGCCTTACAGAACGACATTTTGCCACAAGTGCTTGTCAGAAGATCCACGGTAAACTATCCATCATTTATCAAGATGACAGGAAGATATATCGTGAAATGCGAGTATCTTGTTTGGTTATTTCAAAAAATATGTGAAATCAATTACGAACGATTTATTCGCGTCATATGGTCAAATCCACCGAATATGAACCACATGATATTCATTCTCCCTTAATTTGATATTCATAGACTCTAAATCAATCTAACCGAAGATTTCACGCAATCCACTGACGAGACTAAACGAACTGTTTGCATTGTATGGTGTACATCTTCATTTTGTCTTGTGGCACTGGAAGAGGGGAATAAAGTTATCAAAAGCCAATACTTACCCCAGAAATTACAATACCCATTCTGAGTGAGCGAGAAAGTAAGGACTAAGCTCGTGTTTGCATGGTGCTCTTCCGTTCGAAATAAGGTAGGTAGTGATGAACTGTGCCTGAGACAAGAGAAGTGTTGTCTCCTGTCGTCTAACCGCGTACAAACAGAGAGCAAAATTGTCGTGGCTAAATTTGGTGTACATATAAATTCGGGTGAATGATTGCTTCCGATATTAGTGACAAGATCATTATCACAGTTTCCAGCACTCTAAACGTTTCGAAAACAATGCATACCCACTGTTTTAACGAAGCATCTTGTTTTGCCCCGATGCTACGTTCGATCTATGGCGATTAGGGGAAAGTAGCTAATTAACAAGCTCCATCAAATACGCTTTGCTCAAGGATAAGATCCGCCTCCAACTACATCAAATCGAACTGTCGGAACCGTAGTGCCTCTGTGTTGATTGAACTTTCCTGAACAGGGTGGTTTACGTGCTGGTCATCAAAAAGCGCCTCATGCATATTTACTAGCATTTTGCAGTAGCCATCTCATCTCATGCTGAACGCCACGCTCACGAACGTGAAACTTGGCGAGTCTACTTCCATTGTACACAAAGCATGTTATGCAAATTACAACACTCATTCAAACAGTACACAAGACGCTACTCCGTAACCAGTGTTGAGTGTGTGCTTGTGCCCTTCTCTAGCTTTCAATCAATATTGGCACATTCATGCAAACTGAAAAAGAATATCCACTCATCGAGACGCTATGAATGTTTGCATGTGTGTGATCAATTTTCTTGAAGACATATAGATTGGTTGACCTGTATCAGAAGGGTTGACAAAACACTATACAGCTTTTGAAAAACATGGATTTTGGTTCACATGGGCGGTCGTTGATTGCACATGGTTTGCGGGAAGCCTACAAGTTATGCACTCTACACAGCCGTACCTAATTGAGATGCTCACAAATGACCATCTCTTTACCATGTTCTTCCAAAGCATAAAACCCTTGTGAACGGTGAGTCCAATAAATACTATCATGTAGTTCAGGCGACTAACATTCCTGCGCTGGTTAAAAATGTCTATTCAGTAATATAAGGCAACTGGGTTAACGCTATTTGAACACGATCATAACTTTATGACTAAGCTAGCTTGCGCCAGAAACGGGTTGTCCCGGGTTAAGATGGGGCAGGTTCTATTTAGAAGTCATCTTTTTCAGTGGCCCTCTTTATAAAGTAACACTAGTCTGAGATTTTGCCATTTCCATGATTTCTACAACTGGGATTACAATTACAATTAACGTTTTATTGCTGAGATTGGCAGACTCGACCAGAAACCTTGCATCTGTTCTTTTTATTTTACGAAGGACTTCTATAAATATGACAACATATGAAATTCTGTCAAGCGCTGGCTCTCTTCAATCAGTAAACCTAATCCATGGCAAAAACACTGAACTAAACCGCTTGTTAGAAATTTTGCTGACTATCCTTAGTGTGGTCGGTGATTCGAGTGAGAATCAATTCAGATTATACAGCCTGACAGTATGTTAACAACGTTTCACGTGATGAGATACTTACTAGTGAAAGCAATCAAACCTTTTCCTTCCAGCCACAAATCAGTCGGTTTCTACTAACTTGCAACAGTTAAAGAAATTCGCCATGAAAATTTTAGAATTCAGCCAAAACATTAACAGTGTACATCTTTTAAGTATTTTGGGGAACATCGAACTTCATCTTGTCAATCTGTTCAATCCATCGTAACTCAGTCGGTGAAGCGTGCCACTGATTTCGGTCTCAGATCATTATTGTTCATGTCTGTTCTCCTTGGTTTGTCTGGAACAATTGCCAATTTATGGCCTGTTTGTGCAGTTAAATTGGAATAGGTTTGTTTGTTAGTATGATCGTATCGTTTCATATCGGTACCATAATAATGTAAGCTAATTAACTTTCCCATATCTAATAAAAGCCAATCAAACTCGGATCAATGATGCAGTTTAATGTTCGTTTTCGCAAAGACTACAGTTAAACGCAAGGATACAGTAGGTATTTGTAAAGCAAACGTTAAATGTACCAATAATCTGTCTAAGTGGTCAGTAAATTAACTGAACTGCAAATGTTCCCTACAATTTTAACATGACATTACATTTAAAATAAATAGAGCGTCCTTTAATCAAACCCCAATTACTCATAACCGACCATGTCTTTCTCCGTACACAGTACGTAGATTGCAAACTTCTCTTTATAGAACAAGATGACACATTCGGTGTATGTGTTCGAGCATAGGGGTTTAAGCGACAGTGAATTAGTAGAGTTTAATAGACACCTTGTTTCATGCATAAATGAGGTGAAATTGTGATCTGGACTCTGATTGGTTACTTCGTATTGCGTTCGAAATCTCGGCCTGCAATCTGCTTAGTCACTTTCTGGTGTGTTACGAAAACCCAATGTTACCTACCACCACTGGTGCGCTGTAAGCAAAGATATCCTGTATGTGAAATGAGGTCGAAGTTTACGTTAAACGAACCGTTGATTACAAAATATTTCTAAGGACTTTCCGCGTTGTATGCGGGCCAGCGCTGGCCATCTGGTTTCGATTCGCTGGTCAGCAGTAGAAATTCCCTCTCGCCTCCACAGATGATAATTCGACTTGCACTAGCACCGTTTACTTCGTCACAAGTTGTTTTCATTTGTATCAAAAGTTTAGAGGTAGAAAATAGTCTGTAATCAGAATAGGCAAACGATCATCCTATTACCCAGTTCATTCTCCCCGGGGCGTCCCTAGTCAACGTCCGGCAAACAGGTTATGTTTGCCAAAGCAAACCGAATTGCCCAAAAAGGTCACGAACATTGGTCAATCAATGGTAGGCTCGCCTTAGTCATGATTCCAAGCCACTGGTCAGGTAAGCGGGCGAATTACCAAAACCGCAACAAAATCACCAGTTGGTCAAAGATTGTTTTGCCCAAACAGATTAGTGTGTCACCACTTCGCAGTGAAGCGCGCAAACCCTCTAAACCATGTGCATATTCGTCCGAGTGAAATTTGCTTGAGACTGACGTAAGTGCTCACATTTGTCAACTTACATGTTCATCGACTTCATTTGTAACAAAGAGTTGCTCTGATAAAAACACGAATATCACTTTAAGTAAAATGTACTCTTCAAACATCGTACACTGCCAGTGGAAGGGCCATTCGCATAGAGTAGACCAAGATGATGTACACATCATCAAAGCAATCAGCGCAGCCTTTACCATATCTTGCTTGACAGTTTCTTCCTGAGCAGTGTGGGTCCTTCTATGAAAATAACCCTTCGTTGGACAACAACAGCATAGTCTAACTGTCACCGCTGTGCCGTCGTATTCTATGTTCTTCAGAGTTGACGTTGCGCAACGCCGAGTCTATTCAATTGTGTCAAGGAGACTGATGGTACTAATAGGGCATATCTCAACATGTTCGATGAACCAGAACTAGTTATAGTTTGCTACAGTTGATCAGTTGTCAAGCGGTGGCTTTACTAGATTCACAGAAATCACCTCTACTAACAACGGTGATAAGTTCCTCTTATAATCAAATGCTGTTACAGCACCAGCGTAGGTCATACCAGGACAGCAGTCAAATCCAGTTGAGTACTTTAACATATCATCTTAATTAAAGTGCTTCGTAAAGTTTAGAGATTATGGAAACCGAAGTTCTCGTCATCGCAGAAGTGACATGGTGCTGTGACATAGTCTTTCAGTGAGAACCATTGTCACAGCTGGAGTTGGCATTAGCCCATTGTTGTGGTCCCGTTGTGATGGACCACTAACTTTCAAAATTACGCTGACAAACCTGAGCTTTGAAACCACCTAAAAGTATGTGGAACACAATGACCTCGAGTTTTGCTCTGTCCAGCATTTTACTTGTAGCAGTTACTGTACACTGATGATCAAACTGAGTCTTACATCTCTTATCTTATAGGTTTGTATAAAATGCATCACACAATAAAAATAATATTGATGATTCGGCCGTGCCTAACATGAGGTCAATGGTGCAATGGTGAACACGGTTGCTTTATGAACAGCATGACCGGAGTTCTATCCCCGGCATTGACAAGGATATGCACTACTGACGAGCTCTAATGAGAGCAAAACTCTAGTCTAGTGCTTCTTTTCAAAAGGGACCGACTGAAAAGTCTATGGGAATGCTACAGCTGCGATCAATTGTGGGTGATGTTCAACTTGCAATAAACACAACAAAAGAAACGAAACCTTTTAACTTTTCGGTTTCGGTCAGCGTTTTATCAAACTTGGAATAACATGTAACTTTGTTGGTCTACGTAGTTTTGGAGACAGTCTTTCGCCACAACATCAACAAACTGTGGCCGGCCAATCTGTACATTCTGAAAGTCCGTCAATGTCATCAACAGAGAATCAAAATAGTAGCATATTCCACGATACCTGCTCCCAGTACATTCGATATGACGTTGACTTTTCTCAACATTTTTTCACATTCTGTGTTTTTTGCATCTGTGTGTATGGAGAACCGTCTCTCACTGTGTGCAAATGATGTAATGATAATCAAATCTGATGTCAAATGCTTATCAGATAAATATCATTAACAACTATATGTTACAACACGTAGGGACTATGCGGGTCAGCTGGTTGACTCCTTCTGGATCATTGTGAATTGCAGTAACTGAAGGTCAGAATAGTGGCGGAAGCAGACACTGATACAGTATAGATCTGACGCTCAGGGTATATCAGTTACATAAAATGGGAGCGCAAAAGATTTGTCTGGAATGTGAATAAAGCGTTCAGGTATATTTTTCTTCAGCTAGTCACATGATCATTCTGGGTGTAATCATACCCCCAAGTTACTCTATTCATAACTTCCTTCTACAGGCACTAAAGTGGCTAACAATAGAATAGAGTGGTGGAACT